GACTCTATGGTACTCAATAATGGATGGATGAATATCAATATATGCATGAGAAAATGAGTAGATGGAAAGATGGGAGAAAAAGTATGGTATTCCATATTTATATGTATATAAACATAAAATCTGAAGAACTTTAAAGCAAAAGTTCATCTCTACAGAATCAAGTTTATCTGAAGGATTTTCATAAAGGCAATGCTATTTGAACTAAAACAAGATCAAGATGTTATGCAGCTTAGCAGATGTATATAAAATAGCACCTCCTTTAGTTAGGAGATAATACTAACCAAAATCTGAACTAATTTAATGACGTGGCCGTTAATCAGTAAATAATAAATCAATAAACGCTTACTTGAATGAAATAGCTACTAGAATTCAGCAAATGCTGAAGTACTGCTCTTTAGGTCCTAGACAGGAATAAGAACATCTAAGAATGTTGGGTATCAAAGTCCTGCCACAGCAGGGCAAGCTCTGTAGATGGGGCATGTCAAAAATGCAGAGTCTGTTTTATGAAGAATGGCAAGACTACAATAAGCTAGTGCAGAGGGGAAGGCCAGTTGGAAAATAAGTGGGATATTAGAAGTCAGGACAGAAAAACAAATATAAATGCCTATGTTCAGAGAAATGCCATATAGAGCTTCTCTGTAAGACTAAAATGTCTTCTCAGTCATAGACATAGAGATCCGTTTCACCAGTTCCTTCATAAAGTATCAACAATGTTATTTGTTTTATAGTTTTTACCTTAACTGGTGATTTTCATTCTAAACTAAAATTTCTAAACTAAAAATGTCAACTGCTATCTCGTTATGATAAGAACATCAAGTGGACTATTGTAACTACAACTTCCAGAGGGAGGCGGGAAGAGCCAAAGAATGAGACTGCTTTCAAACTGATTAGCAACTGCACCTCATTGCACAGCAGTATGAAGAAACAGATTTGGAAATAGGACCAAGATTAGTGGGGCCTTTGAGCCATAGTCTCAATTTGGGCCTCATCATTATACCTGGCAACAGTGCCAATTTAGCAGGCATCGGGCTGTGTAGAAAGATTTGCATGCAAATGAACACAGTTTGCAGTATTTTGCTTAGTCTCAGTTAAAGAGGAACATCACTCTTCACTGGCACTATAAAAATAAAACAGAGGTTAACACAGTGGAGTCCAGGGCAGAGTCCATTACTGGGAGAGCTAATTTGGCAGGTATATCAAACTCCTAGAGATCATAAGCAGTGTTTTTGCAGATGCACTAAAGAGTTTTTAAAAATGCAGGTGTGGAAGGTAGAGGATATAACTTAAGTCTAACATTTTGAAATTTATAGGAAGCAAATCACCAAATTAAGGAATAGTTATTCATTTATTTTTAAATTTAATTTAATTTTTTTTAAGTTTTATGCAATGGCCTAGCTGCAGTGTCATTCACTGCTAAGACACTGTGCCCCACAGACTGGGATCATGTGGGAAGCCTGAGTTTGGTCCCAGTCCAACCTAGAGGCCATTCACAGTGGTATGCACTTGTAATTCCAGCTAATTGTGAGACTGAATCAGGAGAATCACCCGTTGAAGCCTTTTCTGAGCAACAGAGTCTCCTTCTAAAATGACCTGGGCATGGTAGAATGTGCCTTTAGTCAGAGATGGAAGGCTCAGGTAGAAACAAGACCTGTATTTTTAAAAAAGAAAAAGCAGGGCCAACTAGGTGGAGTGGTGGTTAAGGTGACTAGATCCCACATGGCTGAGTGGGCAGTTCTAGTCTTGGGCCCAGTGACTTGGAAAACACCAGGCACATGTGCATGCATGCATGCCCAAAATCTCACGAGGAGAAGGAAAGAGAAAGGATTGTGATGTGGCCATTACCCCTGAGGGGCAGTGCTATCTCACTTTCTGTGTCACTCTCTTTCTCTCTGTGTCTATCTCTCTCCAGTGAGTACATGCACAATATAGTCAAACTAAAATAAAGAAAGAAGGTCATCTACTTAAAAGAAAAAAATTTCATACAATAAAATATACAATTAATATAATCTATAATAAAATATACACATTAAAACAACTTGAAAATAAAAAATAAGATTTTAAAATAAAAATAATAGAAAGTTTGAAAATAATTAAAATGAATTTAAAAATAAAGAATTATAAGACATTGCTATTTCATCATAAATGTGGATTTTGGCTAACTCATTTTAGCCCTCTACCTTTAACCAAGAGTCATAATGGGCTGGATAATGACATAATTAGACTTGAACAGATTATCTTAGTTGTATAGTCTTCATAAAGTCCAGTCATCCTGGAATGGAGGATTTTAATTTCTTTCCATACTTCCTAAATACTCCTTACTCTTCTGCTTCATTCACTCAAGTGTTTATTCATTCATAAACATATATTTAAAGCTTTCTAAATTTAAAGAATGTCTGAGACAATGTAAGACATGGAACAATGTGTAGAGTTACAGGTTCTTATGCTAAGAAGTTCATGTCTGATATATCCCCAACTTCTGGACTTGATGTATCCCCAGAATCACACTAGGCCCCTAGAAAGTATTGAGCAAACTGTCATGGAAGGAACTAGTGAATAAATTAATAAATTAATAAATTAATGTTTCTATTTGGTATTATAGATACTAGCATGTAAATTTATGACAACAATCCAAATTGCCAATTCCTATTTCTTCTCGTGAAATAAAAATAAAAACAAAATGTTGGGCCCAATCATGGTGACACTGGCAGTAGCATGCTATTCCGCAATACTGGAGCCACATGGAAGACCAAGATTTGAATCCTAGTCAATTTGAAGCACAATGGGTATGCACCATGATCCTGGCTTGCTATAAGGTTGGGAGAGAGGGGATCATGGCATGGTAAGACCTGTGGTCAGTCACGTGGAAGTTCAGTGATGTAACTGCTATGCCATCTGCTGGCCCAAGATTTTTTTTTTCTTTCTAAGCTTAAAGATAAATAACAGAAATTCAGCCTCTTAATTATTTCTTGTATTTTTTTAATAAAATAATTTACTAGTAAAATCTAAATAACTAAAATTAATGTCCCAACAATCTTGTTGTACTCACACCAATTAATCATCGGATAGATAGAGTTCCAGAAGATAGATTGCTCTTCAACAAATAAATCAGTTTCAAAGTAAAATACACTGTCTCTGTAGAAGAGTCTGTGAGACTAAATATTAAATCACTTCTCAATAATAGTGATTCTTGCCAATAAATCTGGAAAATAACACTATTTTCATATAGGAAAGATAGCTATTTCATTTCTTACCAACAAAGGATAAATGATAAAGTTAGTAGAATCAGCCAGTCATAGATATATAGATATTTCATAGTCCTTTATTCTCTTGCGTTGTTTATCTCCCTAATTAGCCTATGATTTTTTCCAGAGAACAGAAATTACTTTATTCATATTTGTTCTCTATTTCCCCAGCCCTGCTGTCCCCTAGAACCTATTTAGAAATGTTTTACATACTAGAAAAAATCAAGTCAAGTACATTGTAATGTGAAACAAAATAAACCACAGATTGATCAAAGTTTGTAACTTTTTGCACACTTTGTAAAAAAAAAAGAAAAGCTAACACAATTTAATTAGAAAAGTGTCTATCCATTTCCAAGTCAACAGAGAAATTCAATTTTTAAATCCCTAAAGCTCTCTCTGAACAATCTTGCACATACAAGTGCATCCAGAAGTATATTTAATGTTCCTGTCTCAATTACAAATGTGCATCAGATTGGACTAGGCTTTTTATACTTTGAATTGGCTAATATAAGTTTAATTAAAAAGCTCTGATTTTGAACTGTTACATCTATCCCCACCATGAATCCTTGATAAACTATTGATATATGCATCTTTCCTAAGGACCTAATGTGCAAAGCAGCATCATAAAGCCACAGTGTAGCATAGGAAATCATAATGTTCACACTACTGGAACTAAGACCCAAATGCTGAGGATGATATTTAAACATCATCAGACATATTATAAATTGTGTTCCCTTTCTAGAGTCCAAGGCTAGGATGAATTATTATAAGTAGAATGTTAAGTAGGTAATAAAATGTAGTGGTTAAGAATTTGGTCAAGGGGCCAGAGAGTGGCCTGATTCCCACATGGTCAACCGCAGTTAGAGTTCCGATTGGCAGTAGCATGCTACTCTACAATACTGGAACCACATATAAAGTGGCTTGAAAAATTTCACCAGGTGTACGTGCAAGCATGAGCAGGGTCCTAAGAGGAGAATGGAGGAGAAGGGATTGCCATGTGATCACCCCCCCCCTTGGAGGAGGGGCGGGTGATTTCTCACTTTCCGTCTCTCTGTCTCTACAGTGAATATACGCACTCAATGGCAAAAACTAAGTAAAAAAAAAAAAAAAAATTCAGTCAAGCACTTCTACAACCCATCGTGAGAGATTATACACTAATTATTTATACTACCTAAATCTTCATTTTCTCAACTGTACAATGGGGATAACTGTATTTACCTTACCGCTAGCATCAAAGGGGAATGTGTAAAAACTGCAGATTGCAAGCCCTACCCCAAACCTACTGAATCAGAAACAACCTGGGTCTGTAGGCCACACAGTGGCAGAAGGGGGAGGTGATTTTCCGGCATGTTAGAGTTTGAGAACCAACCTTCCTATGTATCATAGTACCCTATGTAACCAAACAATAGATTTCTTAGTTCTAAAAAAATAGTTTTAACCCGGTTTGGGAAAGCAATCTTCTGACTCTTGCAATAAAGTTTTATTTTTATTATTACTTTTTAATCATTTTCAGGACCACCTACTTAGGCTTCTATTTATATGCAGGTTTAGTAAATAAATGAAGGAACTCCATCCTAGGCTTTAAAACTGTCACACTGAGCTCACCATACAAGCATGAGGGACAAGAACGTAGGAATTCCTGAACCACATAGGTAACACGGAGGTTAGTCAAGTGAGCACTTCATAGTCCCAATTCTTGCCCCCCACCAATTTTTTGTCTCTGTATAACTGACTGTTCTCATGTTATTTTTTCCCCAGATACCTTTATCAATGAATGTGTCAACCTTTCTGGCATACGACCAGCCCACAATAAGTTACTGTGGGGTGCATCATGAACTTCTCTCTCATAAGTCCTTTGAAACGAATGCACAGGAAGATACGATGGAAACACACCTAGAGACTGAGCTGGACCTGAGCACAATCACAACAGCTGGCCGAATCAGTGACCATAAACAGCAGCTGGCTTAACTGAGCTGATAGGTAGCCGAGGGTTGCTACCAAACTTTGTAACCTCAAGGACAAAATGAGGAAGATTTTTGTTCATTGTGGACGCTAAAAGCAAGCAAACAAACAAAAAACAAATCCCCTGTTTAAATAAACAAAAATCCACGATTGATTCATGAAATAAAGAAGACATGAATTGTTTCAAGTCTACACTTTGTAATTAGCTAAGTTGTGCAGTATTTTTTTGACTTAGAGTATGACCCTGAACAAAGGAAAAAAAATCTTTTTCTCAAAACTCATCCTACCTACCTGTAAAAACTGTACAGAGCTAATGTATTTTTCATATTGTAAAGTTTCAATTATAGAAACAACTGGTATGTACAGTACCATAATTTAATTACATTTTACTTTACAAACTTTACACATTTCAGTTTCTAAAATTTTAAATTAACAGAAATTATTTCTTGTGTTATTAAGAGTCACTCAGTTTTGTAGGGACTGTTTTGTTACTGCTTTTGTGCCCAGAAACCTTGACTCTAAAATTCTGTGCTGTGCGAAACATGCACGATTTTTATCATGCTTACTGCGTAGAATTTTATCTACTTGTTCCAGAAATAATACATTAACCAAAAGGGATTTAATTGTTCAGACTTGTAAGAGGCTCTTCAATTACAAAGACAGGTTTTTCTTATAAATGAAAAAAAAAAAAAGCAAAGTTTTTTTTAACAGTTCTTCTCAGACTTAACTGTTGCCTTGAATTACAGCCTAGTTTCTAAGTAGTGAAATGCAATGATAAAGAGGGATATTTTAACAACATATTTCCGAATGAATGACTCATTATTTCATTTTTTTGAGTACCATTGTTAAGGGTTGGGGGGAGCCTGGACAAAACATCACTGGAAACAAAGGCCGTAACCACAGCAACAGACTTTGATACACTTAAAAGGTGCAGCTGCCAATGGCAAAGAAAAACTTTTGTTACATCTTATTATTTTCAGGCCAAGGTGGGAGGATAGAGCATAATAATTGTACAGTGGCAATTTTTCTCCTAATTAACCCAAAGTGGTTTACCTAAAAATAACTGTCAGCACAAAATGTGCCTGGTTCTTAAACAACTTTTCATTTACAGCCCTGTCTTATATTTTAGGAACATCTCAAAGAAAATACATGAAATTTTTCATATTGTGTGCTACATCAATATAGATATGAGCCATAATGGAGAATTTTTATCACTTAAGGAGATTGTAAACATCCTTATTATATTCTAAATTGTTCATATTGTCGTGCATAATGGAATTCAGCTCCAAATCCAAAAAGTAATTCAGAGTAATTTGACACCAACCCGGATCATATATTGATTATGCAATTGTATTACAGTTATTTAAAATCAAATTAAGAAAACCTGACTTTTCAGAGTCTGAAATAATCAACTTGTTTCTGTTGTTTGCTAGACACAGGTTATTATTTGAACATACCTTTTTTCTCCATGGTAATAACACTTTCTTTTTTATTTTTTTTAAATATAAAACTGCAAATTTGAATTACTGTTGCACAAAGATAAGTGCTTTTTTTATGTTGTCACTTTATATTCATGACATAAAAAATACATTGAGAATGTGTCACTTTAACAGGGGTCAAACACAATTAAAAACAATGAAGAAAAGAATCAGTGAAAAGCAATGTCAAACTTTTACTTTTTTTACTGCTTCCATGGAAATTATATCTATAAAACTCTAGTTTTCTGCAGTTTTGTCACAGCAAATTTAAGAGCACCTCGAGAAGAATGAACTTTAAAATTGTAAGCAAAATTTTGTTGAAAATATAGAAAGAAAAAAGATGCAAAATGTTGGAAGAAGCAAACTCTATTAATAATTTAAATGAAAGTAAATGTCAAACACAGTGCTTGTATCAACTGCTTAGCATTCCAGATTTTGTAACATATTTTGCATATATTATTTGCTATTCAAAATTTTTCTGTCGTTTAAAGTCTAATTTTAATCTTCATTTTTTTTCTGATTTCTAATTTCTTTTTAATGTGTTATTGTCAGAGTGTTCTTAAGGCTCTACATCAAGATTTGGCTTTGCACAGTTAGCAAATTTATAGAGGGTTATAAATCTATTTAGTTGTGGGTCTGAAATCAAATGCAAAATTTATATGTTGTGTAAACCAAAATGTTATTTGCAATTTTTCTCATTAGAAGTTGTCCTTGCAAAGTCCAAAAGGAAGGATTGATTTGTGTAAATAAGCACTTTGAAACGACTTCTAGAAATTTTGAAGTTCCAAGGATCCTTACAAGTGTATGCCCTTGATTTCCTTAGCAAACTCCTCTTTCTATTAAGTATTTTAAGTTCATCTAAAGTGAACTATAAATAGAAGCAATCATTCTGGAACTGTAGCTCTGCACATCCAACCTACAGCAAAACAACCTAAGAAAATTTTGAGATTTCTTACATTTAAAATTAAACCAAAAGGTTTTTAACTAGAACAAAAGAAAAGATGCTGGCTTACTGGTTTGTTTGATTTTTATTCTGCCATTCTAGGGTGAAAGGGAGTGGAAACCTGCTACAATAGATTGTCTGGAATCTTTATTGCACATTTGTAATTTATATCAGTTTGTAATCTAAAACGTTTATTTCTAACCTATCTTTTTCAGCACTTGATAATCTCTCACTATATCCCTCTAACCACCTATCCTCATGTTTCCCTTCCTGTCTACTGCTCACCTATTCAAACAGCTGAAATGCTTAACTGTGTTTGGAGTTGAAAAATGGAGCATTTGACCCAGAGTACTTATAATAACAGCAACAGCTGCAGCAAACAATAAAGTTATGCAGTGTTTTGAGGTTTTCAACCCACACTTCACATGAGTTATCTCATTTCATCTTCAATACAACACTATGAAGACACATTAATCTCAAAGAAGTTGAGCCCTCACCAAAAACACAGGGCTAAAAATTGGTATAGTTAAACCATTCTCACAATTCATAGGCTATTAGTCTTTCTACCATATTAAAAGCTTTCTTTCTCTGATCAGAGCTAGAGAACTTCCAGAGACACTGGATAGAGGGAAAGAAAACAAAAATGTTTCACATGTTGTTTAGTAATCCCTAATTTACTTCGGTTCCTCTATCCGTAAGATTCGTGGTCTAAAAGAACTCTGTGTGCTTCTCCAGGCTCTCACATTAAAACTCTTTGTTCAAAAAGTATAGCAGGTCAAATATTTCTTATCATTCAAGATCATTTATAAATGTGTAGAACGGGTACTCCCAAGATGTGGCTATATGAGGCCTCAAAGTGCCGACATAACATTAAGAAGCACAAGGAAAGAAGGCATAGGTAGGTACAAAAGAAATCCATAGCCCAGCAGATGCATGAAGGTTAAGGCACTAGATTGCACATGACTGGCTGCACGGATTAAGTCCTGGATCTGACAATTTGAGAATCACACCAGGCACATATGCATGTGTCCCCAAAATCCCGAGAGGAGAATGGAGGAGAAGAGATTGCACCATGGTTATTCCTACTGGAAGACAATTTCTCACTTTCCCTCTATCTCTCTCTCTCTAGCAAAAACTAAAAAACAAAACAAAACAAAAAATTCATTCACAGTGCAAGGCTAAATGAACACATTCAAACATGTTTAACTAAACACCTATACAATTCAGAGTTGACTGGGAAGACATGAAATTTTTTTCTCATTTTTCTGTTTTTGTTTTGGCAAGATTATTTGAAAGATGACTTTTTTAACCTGTTGCAATACAGAACAATTTTCTTACTTCTCCTAAGAAAAATGAAATACCATTTATACAAAAAAGATACTAAAACATGTGCTAACATACAAATAATGTAGTTTACTGATCAGCTCATTTTTATCAAGTCTCTATCCCTACTTCCTCCTAAATGTTCTAGAAAATATAAAATATACAGATTTTTAATACAAATTATATTTTTAGAAGGAAAGAAAACTTGCCTAAATTTAACTCTCAAGACAAATGACAATCCAAATTTGAACTCAGATCTGTCTTATTCCATAAACTTCTGAGAAGTGGCAAAATCTTTTTGCAAAAAGTTTCCTAAAATAAAATAACTGTACATGAGATTTTTAAAAGTAATCTGATTTTGCCTGCTCCTGATTAGAAGACAGATAACATCTTGCAAGCTAAATTTTCAAAATAAATGGAATACATGAAAAGAGGTACCTGATGTGAACCATTAGCAGGCTAGAAAAAAAATCAGAAGTACTGGGTAAATAGAAGCAAGAAAGAGGTAATGAAACTGTCAGATAGTTGACGGGCAGAGAAGGTGAGAAATCTCCAAAGTTGACATAGCATTTACCATTGGCATAGTTCTTAAAAGTTTATCATGCAGGTTAACAGTGTAGCAATCTCATAACACATACAAAGTCTCAAGATCTAGATGGGTTGGTTTTGCAGTAAGAACCCAGATGAACAGATCTTAAAGTAAATAATAGCTCCCAAGTACTCCTGTTACTTTCTTAACTTGCCACAGCTATCCCTAAATAGAGAGGGGACAAGGGGAAAGGTTCTAGGATGGGTACTTTCAAAACTCTAACATACCCATGAAAGTGGGACAGATTGAAAATCATAATTGCAGCATCAATTGTACCAAAACATCTTTAAAAAATATATACATTACTTTTTCAAGAGACGTTTGAAAATTTTAAAACACGCATACATTACAGTGGTGAAAGTTTACTTTCAAAAGTCTCCCAGGGCTTGTTTTATAATGTTCTTATAAGATGAGGGGCAGCTTATATTACATTTTTTTAACTTACAGTAAAAGTCTTGTTTTAAGAAATTCACAGTTAGGCTGGCTCCATAGCTTGGTGGTCAAGCAGCCAGATCCCACATGGCCAACCACAGATTTGGATCCCAGACTCTGTGACTTGACACTGCAAGTGTGCATATGTTGTGTATGCTTAAAGTCCCAAAAAGAGGGAAAAAGAGGAGAAGAGATGTGGGGAGAGCATCCCCCACAAGGGCAGTGCTCTCTCCTCTCCTTTTCTCTCAGTCTCTCTCTGGAGAGCATACGAGCCCTCTAACACACACACACACATACCCACAAAAATCCAGTTATTTACCTTTCTATTAAGGACAGTGATTTTTTTTAAAAAAAAGCAAAGTACATCAGCCATCTAGGACTTAG